CGACAATATTAATCTAAACGAAAATAATGCCATGTAGAATAAGTAAGCGCCGTTTTAAAAAACATTATATTTATGCAAACGGTAGCATAATTTTTAGTACAACTTGGAAAAGAAGCAATATGAAATAAAATCTTAGCAATATTTTTTTTTAAGTAGTTTTCCTTGGTTTTAGTGGAGCATCGCATTTCTGGAGCATATTGGCATTAAACTTATAAATCTAAAACCTTATCCCGGCTCTGTACAAAATTACAAAACATATTTACATATAGGTTTTTTAATAAATTTACAAACAGCAGCGATAAGATTTGAGTACAAGTTAGACACGCACATATTACTTCAACTTGACTAGGACTAATGACTTTAAATGTTGTATATTATTATTTGTTTATAGTTTATGGAACAACACAAAGGAACGAATTTTGGTTAGTGTTTACGTATCTATTGGTGCTTTCACTCTGTGTGGTATCGGGGCTTCATATTAAGGTTTAATTAATCAGTATCCACATTGATTAGATAAAATACGTAACCAATTTAAATTAAATTTTCAATAACGGTAACTTGCGCAAATAAATTCCGAAATTTTGTACGTACAAATTGGACAGTTTCGAGAGGAGGGCGTGTCTGTACGGGGCCCAATTTTAATAAGAAGAATAAGTATAATTTTCTCACAATTAATAATTTATTAGTTTTCAACAGCAAAATTGCATTTAAAATGACATTTCCGAAAATATAACAAGCGTAATGTTTCACTGAGTCCTCTTCGAACAAATTACAAGTAGGCTTTGGACATGTAAAGTTTTTAAACTGACTACAATTAATTAGATTGGGATATAATATTTCGGAAATGTTTTTAGGAGGTTGTTACTATATTGGTGGTGGCCAGGCCGTGAAAAGGTAATTTGAAGCTGCTCTCGAAAAATCAAAAATACAGAGGGCACATATAAGAAAAGGATTTGGCTGTTGACTGATTAAACTATCAGTTTTTAAAAAAACCAAAACTTTGTGCAGTTTTTCTGTTACTTTTTTTATGAAAATCGAAACCCAGACACTGACACACCCTGTACAGGGCATCCTATTTTAGATAATTTTGCGACATATCCCTGATCTTTTTATAGATAGAAAGTTGTTTTCGTGGCAGTAATTATGTCGTAAACAACATTTTCATATCCGTTTTATTCTTTATGTTATGGGGGCATTTTTGAAAGTGTTGCATTTTGGAACCGCCCCACGTCCCTTCGTTTACCTTAAACTTATCGAAAAGATAAAGTAACGGTGTAGACAATTTCCTTTACATCCTTAGGTACTATTTTTGTGCTATAAAGCAAAGTTATTTTTTAATTTGAACATTTTGTATATCAGTGGACCATGAAATTTTTCTTTTTTTGGAAAAAAAATAATGGTATGCACTTTTTCACGTAAACACGCAACTAATTGACAATTTTCTCAAATAAAATGCATAATTTAATTTAAATGACCATTATCTATGAAAAGAAACAAAAAAAAAATTCAAATACACCGCTATATCGCTTTTTCGATCGACTTTTGATTCATAAAGCAGAGATAGGCGTTTTGGGATATACATACATAAAATACAACCAAACATTTTTTTTTAACCTGCCTATTCCGATTCTCTGCTGGTGTGGATATATCAGTTGAAATAGAGCTTGGTCATTTTGTAGTATGTGTTGTCTGCATTTTATTACTTTTTTATAAATTAAATCGATGCTGAGGGACAAATATTTCGAGAGCTTGAATGAAAGATGATGAATTCCTATTAAACTATTTATATAAAACGAGTGAATAAAAGAGAATATTAACTATAAAGCCCACACGGTGACCAAACACATTTTTAATGAATCCGATTACCTTCTTCAGCATTACTTTAAATTACATTAAATCAGTTAAAATTATCCGCTTTCACAATCAGTAAAGTGAGTAGTGTCTGCAGTATCCAAACTGTTCCTAAAGAGTTCGTTTCGAAATTAGGATAATATAAATTGTTATTTTTGTTATATTTTCCTAGACTTGTAGATAACTGAGTAAGAGTTGCGATTTTATTTCAGTTTGTTTTGGATGCTATTTTCACTTACTTTGACAATATGGTGGGATGGAAGAATTAAAAAAAAACACACACTTAAAGCAAATATATAACTCAGAAATACAAAGTACTTGCTAAACATTTGTAGCTTTGGTTACACTTTGCGCCATTTCTTTTCTATTTCTATTCGTAGTTTGAGCAAATACTGCCGTGAAAATGCCTCATGCAAACTTATTGACAATCTGGATCTCGGTTGTTGAATGCCGTATTGTCATTGATTAAAATTGAGAATGGACCTTTTCCAAATTTATTTCTCAATTGCTTTATAAGTTTCTGTATTATCGGCACAAGCACAGTTCTCTCTTCCATTAAATGTATTTTGTATATAGTTTATCGAATTTTTGAAAGAGGTCTTACAGTACGTATGGACCTATACATTATAAGCATGATATAATGATGGTTATACAGGGTGTCCCAGAATTAGACGTCATTATTTTAACCACATATTCTGTGACCCAAAATAAGGAATAAAAGGTCATATAGAGTAGGGTCCAGAACGTCTTAGTTTTTAACTTACAGGATGTTAACTTTGAAGAGGTGATGGCGATTTTTGTAAATATTTTCGAAACACGTAAATTTTTTTAAATAAAATTTGGCACAGTTTCTAAATCTTTTAGGCTCTATTTAACGAACTAAAACTTTGTTTGTTATTGTTTTCAGGGGTGGGTAACACAGGGGAGGCGTGAGAAAAATTTGGCCCAAATTTTTTGTTTGTCTAATTTTCGTAATTTGGACTGCAGAATTTAAAAATCTAAGGTTTTCTACGTATAAAAGGTACCCTTGTCGGACCTCGCTAGAACGCACCGTATTCAAGAAAAATGGTATTGAAAATGTAATTACATTTTTTTTTATTTTAATGTTTACAATCGAGGCACAGATAATCACAGCTGGTAGAGTTGCTCGAAAGGATACGTTTGGAAGGAAAACAAATGCGACGTAACAATTTCGAAGTTTCACGTACTTCACATGAGATTAGCCGTAGAGCCCGACTTTGCCTTTGTGAACAAGGCAACTTTTTTGAGCACCTTCTTTAAAGTGTAAAGTTTATAATTTTTATTAGAATAATTTGCTTTACAGTTGAGAGATTGATTTGTCTTTTGTTAATAAAAGGATTTATAAGAACAATCCAAGTAAAAACTATTTTTTACCAACAATGAGCAAAATTGAAAGCTGTCGAATAATTGACAATTCATTTTTATTTACCTAGAAACACAAACAAATGAAATGCGCATTAACTTCCAAGGGTTAAAACTAACGATTACCTGCACCTCGATTGTAAACATTAAAATAAAAAATATAATTTGTAATTAAATTTTAAAAAGCATTTTTCTCGAAAACGGTGTGTTCTAGCGAGGTGCGATAAGGGTACCTTAATTAAGTAGAAAATTTCAGATTTTGAAATTCTGCAGGCCAAATTACGAAACTTCTACAAACAAAAAATTTGGTGCAAATTTTTCCCACGTATCCCCTGTGTTACCCACCCCTGAAGACAATCCAATACTAAGTTTTAGTTCGGTAAATAGAGCCTAAAAGTTTAGTAACTTTACCAAATTTTATTTAAAAATATTTAAGTGTTTCGAAAACATTTACAAAAAATCGCCATCAACCTGTATGTTAAAATCTAAGACGTTTTGGAGCATACTTTATATGAATTTTTATACTAATTTTGGGTCACAGAATACGTGACTAAAATATCGTAAATTTTAGTCTGAGCATAGTATTAAATTGTGCATTTAATTTTGGAAAATTGTCATTTTTATCGTGTTTTTGAGAAAAAGTGAATACACATATCATTTACATATTTGAAAAGGTAAAGAAAAAGGAAAATGTTATATTATTAATATTACAACTTATTCATATTCAAATGAAAATAATTCAAAAATAGCAAATATAAAAATATCTACACCACTGCATTCTACAGAAAAAAATCTATAAACATGTTACTTTATCTTTTCGATAAAGTTAGAGATAACGGAGAGACGAGGTAACACTTTCAAAAGTATCCTGTATCTTAAAATCTGGGTGTAGTTAACGGGATGTTTTGTTTTACGAAAATATAGCGCATTGTGTCTCTGTAAAAATAACAGAGATATCCGGTAAAAGTACTCAAAATGACGACACAATAAATTTTAAAATGGACCAAAATACCGCTTATCACGTCATTAATATAAAAAGCCGGAGTATTTTCCATGTTGTATTTGATAATATTCCCTTATTTTGAATAGAAAGTTAACCACATGACTAATAAGGACACATCCTGTCTTTCCGAATTGAAATACTTTTATAGAAAATACATACACTTGTTTTAATTTAAAAATCGCAACATTGAACAATAAAAAAATTACTGAAATAAAAAGCAATCGATGCATTGTCGAAAACTGCCTATTACTACGTATAACTATCCGTAATTAAATGTCCCGAATTTTCAGTGGCTACTCAATCGGCGTCGATAGTGCTCTGCCCGATAATCTCTAACATATTCTAGAAAAAACGACGAAACGCACGGAAATGTGTAGGTTGGCTTCCCCAAAACGTCGAACGTAAATAACATTGACAAAACAAAAACGCCATATACACACAGTTTACAAACCAAACACGTTCAGAAACGAGAAAAACACATTCCAAAAACACAAAAAACATACGCACACACGTCCAAAGAAAGAAAGAAAAAAACTTTCTTCGTTTTTTGCGGGGTGGGTGAAAATCGTTGGTGCTAATACGACGGCCACCATTTCTCTTTTCGTTATAGCGCTGGAACGCGTTCGGTGATTCGTAATGACTCCGTCCGTCATACGAAAATGGTGACCCCGTACGTGAAACATTTCAGCGGAATTTAGCGCGCAAATTGAGCTGAATATTTCCTGGTGGATAATAAAGTTGGAAAAAAATTCATTATTCTTACCTTGCGATGTCCCGGCTGGCGCCTCGCCCCCCTGGTGTATTTGGTTGAAGCCTGGAACAAACAAACCTACCGTTAAAGACGCAGTTAACATTTCCAGTTAACTGCAGTTGGTTCGAAAACGTGATACAAAATAAAATTATAGTTTATTTCAGGAAGGTGTAGAGCATTTTGTATGCAAAGGGATTACAAAGTGACCCGAAGCCACTTTCATTGTTTTTTATTGCGTTCATTGTAAAATTAATTATGTTTATCGAGATCGGGTTAGTTATATTTGAGGTCACCATAAACAATATCAAAATGATGCAGGTTTGCGCAACTCAAACGAAATTTTAGCAAAAGAGAGTCTTATGCTCCTCCCTAGTATATTTGAATGTTGCGCTATTTTACACAAATAATTTGATAACAAATTTAGGAAAATGCACAATTAAATTACGGGTTGATACAAAAGTAAAAACTAAAAGTAAAAGCCAATGTTACAGTCAAGAGAAAAATAAATAAATAATACTTGGTCCTGTGGTACGCTACAAAATATTTAGATGAGTTATACATTCGAACCTGATCGTCACGAGTTTGAATAATCGAGAAGACCTTTAAGTCATAGGCAAAAAGTGGGTAATTAGCATTATGAAAACAGACAGCTATATCATTGATAAATATGAGATCGCCCTAAGCGAGAGATCTGAGGTACCCCCGAAGTAACTGGAAAAGGCTCCGACAAGTAATTTCCACGTCTAACAACCTGACGGCGACCCCCAGATATTCCAGAAGTCTGCCTGTTATATCTTCACCACAGAGTTTATCAAGCACCCCTGCATGATTAACCTGATCAAACGTTTTGCAAAAATCTTTGTAAACATCGTCAATCTGATATCCTGCTTCCAAAGCACCAGCGATTGGGTCCGCGTACGTAATTAGATTTTAAGTTGTTCACCTTACCGATTGAAAGCCATATTGATGAACTATAATTGTATTTTTGAAAAAGAGAGTTAAAAATTGTGTTATTAAGTTTTCGAACAACGTTGGTACGGCACTTAATGTGGATACAGATCCATAATTTGTAACATCGGGACGTTCTCCTGTTTTTTAAAAGGAAACAATGTAACATGTTTCCCAGTAGTCTTTAAAAACCCCAAATGCACTGATTCATTAAAAATGAGACACAGAGGTCTAAGTAAGCATATCGTCAAGAGATCGATGCCCCAGCAACCCCTACCAATCAATGGAACCCAGGTCATCGTTTATTCAAAAGTAATCTGCATTTTCAAAATAGTAAAAGTATGATATGGGAACCAGGCCTGAGGCATAGTTACAAGAATTATTAGTTATCTTGAGAAGAAGAGCAGGATGGTGGCTCTGTGGTGGAACCAACTCGCAAAGGGCGCTCCCAACCACCAGAGACTGATCATGAGCAAAATCAGATCCCAGAAGCGCTCTCTGGCATTGACATTTTTTTGAAAAAGATTACAGTAAGAACAAAAGTCTTTCAACAAGTCTAACACTCTAACATTTTTTCGAAAAAGATTACAATAAGAACAAAAGTTTTTCAACAAGTCTAACACTTTAGTAATTTGAGGATCTTAACGCGCCGATCGGGAAGGGCGTTGATTTTTTTTTGTGGAACCTATTAATTTGGATACAAAAAAGGGGGGCTAGAGGAAATTTTGAATTTTTGGATCTCCATATTTTTCGCAATAGGAGTTGTACAAGAAAGTTATAATTTGGTTGAGATTGGCAGTTGGGCGGGGGGGGGGGGGGGAATTTGAAATTATGGAAGATCATAACTATCCGAAGGTGCGCAAAATTTCAAATTGGTTGTAAAATTTCGCAAGATTCCAAGAATATTTTGTGGAAAAAACTTTATTGGTGGGCAAAATTTCTTTTGGCTTGAGCAAAATTGCGCAATATTTTGATATTCTTTAATGTGACACCGAATGTATAGAGGGCGAAACTTGACCGAGCCTCAATTTACGGATTTTTAGCAACAATGGATACTCGTAAAAAGGAAAGAATTTTATTTTAAATAAATGAGGATCTATTTGAAAAAACAAAACCAGAACTGTTAGCACCAAGACTCAAAGAAACAAAATATATTAGCACCAACGGGAACAATTACACATACAACAAAGGAAAGAGAGATATTGCCATTTTTAATTGAAAATTAAGAAATTATATATTGTAATGACATTAAGAAGTTTCTCCCAAAGATGGGGGTTACAAGTCTACTGATTGGCGACGTTTCATTGAAAGGTGCAAAAGATTAAAATGAGTTTTATCATTACCAATTGTCAAAATAATACTAGTTTTGGAGCAAATTAATTACTCGGATGGCCGATTTGAGTAGATTTCAAAATGGTTAATTTCTTACTTGATCAATACAGTGGATACACCAAATACTCTTGCTTCATTTGTCTATGCAAAAGCAGAGCAAAGCAAGTTCATCGGGAACAAGATGTGTGGCCTTGGAGAAAGCCCTTAACGGTTGGGAATTACCAATGTAATTAACTAACCGCTAGTAATCAGACATACGTACATATATAATGCGGAATAACTGGCAGGGTAGCATATCTGTAGGGGGAAGAAAAGTCAACAATCTGAGATATGCCGACGACACACTAATCATAACATCCAGTGTAGATGAAATGGAATTTATTATGCACCGTCCCCAGGAAACTAGTGCAGAATTTGGATTGAAATTAAATCCCAACAAAACTAATATCATGTAGACCGGCAAAACCAGAACCAACCCCACGTAAAAAACATAGCTGGGTTCAATGTGGTGAACAAATACCTGTACTTGGGATCCTTAATTGACAATAGCGGTGCATGTGAAGGTGAAATAAAGCGAAGAATTGCAGTAGCTCGAACAGTCGTAATTAAGTTAAGTAAGATCTGGAGAGATACAGCCATCACTAAAAACACCAAACTAAGATTGTTGAGTTAACTTGTGTTCCCGATTGCCACTTATGGAGCTGAAACCTGGACGATCAAGAAGAGCGATGCAAGGCGGATAGAGCGGCCTTTGAAATATGGGCGGCTGTTATGGATACCCTGGACGGCCCACCGTACAAATGAGTCCGTTCTTCAAGAACTAAGCATTGAACTAAATCTGTCAAAAACGATAAATCGAAGTTTTCTAACATTCATTGGCCATATTGCAAGAAGAACGGACTCGCTGCAACTACTAATAGTCGAAGGAAAGGTAGAAGGAAGACGGCCGCGCGGAAGGTCACCCAAAAGATGGAGAGATCAAACCAAGGATCTTATCGGCCATGGCCTTCATGAAACCGTAATCATAACTCAGAATAGAACGGAATGGCACAAAACCATAAGCACTGCTTCAAGACCATCATAGTCACTAATCCCTTCTTAGGGAAATGGACTAAAGAGAGATTCAGAAATCAGACACAAAATTATATTGCCACCATTACATATCAAACGATGGACAAGGAAGGAGATTATTTCAAATACATTTGTAGGATATTTCTTAAGATCAATACGGATATTGAATGGTTCTCAGATTCGGGAATTAATAAAAGATGAAAATTTTATAATTTAGACGTTTCACAGGTAGTGTAAATACTTAACCAGGGCCGGTTGACCAGTTGCTTTCCTGATTTACCGAACCGTGTATATTTGGTCTGTCGCCTTCGAACAGTTGGTTTATATATTTACTACATACTTTTAGAATTCGTTGTTGGTCAATAATAGTTTTTCCCGGACAAGCCGCCTGCATATTATTGACTTTCTTATTATACAAACCAGCAACTACTCAAATTTGTTTGCTCTGAAATTCTTCCATTTCCCACATTTATCCGTCATTCGCCTCTCTTAAGCGGTTCGAATTTCCCACATTTATCCGTCATTCGCCTCTCTCTTTAGCGGTTCGTATTTTTTGTTTTATTCTTGAATTGTCTTTTTTGTTTCATAAGATCTAGGATTTCTTAAGTCGTCCATTGTTTCTTGTGACTAGATTTTACTCTATTTTCTTGTAATATCTTGGTAAAAGAATACTTTCAGTTTTGACCAACCCCTAACGGGTTATGGCCTCGCCAGGATTTGTTGCAACTCTATTGAGAGAGTTCCTAAATTTTTTGTTGATCAGAATATAGTGTCTGGTTTCTTATCATGTGTGGCCCCTGGAAATATCCAGTTTACGTTAACGTAAATTGTGTATGCTACCACTATTAAAAAAAAAAAACAATCTGTCAACACGTTCATTGCTCTCTCCCAGGCCATACTCCCCTACTAGATCTAGTCTATATTCTTTGCCAATTTTGGAATAACATATGTGATTTCGTTGGATTTTAAGCTTTTCAGTATTGTACAAAGTTGATTATATAGAATTTTAATTAATTAATTTTTGTGCAGTAGGGACGTAATGTATTAGGTTGATGTTAAATGATAATGCGTGTAGCTGTCGGTTAGTGAAACAAAGTTAAGGACGATTTGCGAGACTTCCTAGCCAGTTTCTTTGTTTTGAATCATGGTGGCCATAGAACCAAATTTTCAATTTTCCCGCAGTAATTCCCTAAAAGAAATGGAGCAAAGATATCGGGTTGAGTGGGACTATTACATCACAGCTGATTACTGTGGACTTGTCTTTAAAAAAGATTAAAATATGACATAGATTTCCGATATTTTTCTTTCTATTTACGTCGACGTACATTAATTTAAAATAAAAAATTATAATTATAATTTTTTTTTCAATGTTTTCCACAACTAGAGCGCATCTTATAAAATCACTGGTAGTTTCATGAATTGTGGGCAAAAATAGATTCAAACTTGTAACTTCACATTTGGAGGACAAAGAATAACACGAAAGCAAACTTACTTCCAAGGGCGGAAGGGTCGGCCGCCAGCGCCGCCATGCTGAAATTAAAGGTACCCGCTGCGGTGGCGAAGAGTTTGCTTTCCGAGAGATACGGCCCGATGGGGCTGTCGTGGTCGTCGTGTTCACCCAGCGAACTGCCAGAATGAGGCCCGTGAGGTAGATTGTTAGCGCCATTGTCTGTTGTCGTCGCCTCGCCTAGCACGTAAAATTACCCTAGTTTAGTTCGGTTTTCTTTGGACTTTTGTTGATGAAATCAAATACTTTGGACCTCAATATCTCCAGAATGGTCCGAATTGTAGTGGAGAAACTTTAACAGCGTATTCAGCAAATAAAATATAACCATATAAACTTAAGTCCAAAAATGTTTGCTTTCAAGCTTAGTAGGTATTATTATCACTGAAAAACAAATTTCAATTTGTTTTCGTTTAAACAGCGTCTTAAATGGATAAAAGGACAAATGAGTTTGCTGGGTTACGTAGCAACAGACCCCATATGCTTGTAGATAGGGACGGTAATCCGAATGTGAATTACTAGGATAACTTGAAAGGATGGGAAAGAATAGGTCGAAGAATTAATTGATGACAATCGAATTGAAAATGGGGACACGGGTCTTAAGATGATTATGGAAGAACTAAAGAAAGCTATAGGAATGACTAAAAATTGGACCTGATAAAATACCAGCTGAAATACTGAAATATCTAGACAGTAAAACAAAATGGTAACTCTTATTACCATTCATAATAATATATGAAGCAGGAGAAATACCAACCAAGTACTAAAAATATTCGTTCGAATAATACACCCTAGGAAGTATATATAAGTATATATAAGTATATTCCAAGTACATTACGTATGTAAAAGCGAAAGGGCCGTTTGAGGATCCGTAACTTTCTTAGAATCAGAGATGCTGAGACATACAAGTCCTAGTCTAGAGATAGATAGATAGATAGTCAATCATCCTGATCGAGATTCTACAGTAAACGGGAATTTCTTGCTTATAAACAGAAACCTTCAATAGAGTCAACGGCCAAGTATTAGGATGCAACCTATACTCTGAACACACTTTTAGAGAAGCACTTGGATGTGGTCGATGGTAGTATCAAAGTGAAAAAAGTGAATATTAATAACTTGATATACTATTAATTTTTCAAAGAAACTTAGACCGGATACTGTAACACCATTTATAAATATTCTTGATTCTTCCTGCGTCGGTTGTTTATAAATCAAACTTGCTGACGTTTCGCCAATCATCCTGTAGCCTTCTTCAGGGGGCGGAGCAAAAGGACGGTGCATGAACATTGTCTCGGATGACTGATTCCCATATGGGTGAACGGCATGTGGAGAGCGACTTAAACGAGTCGATAACATAACTTATCTTGGCTCTAATATTAATACGTAACAACTAGGATATTAGCAATGATCTTAAAATCCACATAGAAAAAGCTAAGGCGGGCTTCAACATGAAGCAAAATCTATGTAGACAGGAACATTCAATTAAAACTAAGTCTCACAAAATCCTATATGTTCTTGACATTGAAGTGCGGGGTGGAAAGCACTTACAGAGACGCTGCTTATGAAACTCCAAACTTTTGAGACGAGGGTATGTCGCAGATTGCTGCGCATAAGCCGAACTGACAGGGTCAGTAATGAGGTAGTTCTACGTCGCTTAAACCAACAACCCCTAATAATCAGAAACGTCCTACACTTTATGCAAAGAAAAATAGAGGGGAAAAGGCCTGGACGCAGATGAGTATCCTGGTGACGGAACTTACGAGAATGGTTTCAAAAATCAAGCGTAGCACTATTGCTGATAACAAAGTCATGCTAGCCTTGATAGTCATGGTTGAGAAGGTTCAATGAAAATATAGCACCAGAAAAAGAAGAAGAAGAAGGAGAATTGCTTACATGCAAGAATTTTAGTTTGATGCGTGTAGCTATTAGATAATATAGTAGCGCCTCAGACGCATGTCCCACATTTCATCCAATAACTTTGACCGAATGATAACGATATATTTAACTTCTTTTGCTTGAAGATTTAATGAGATCTGGATATATTTTGAGAAAATACTGCCGCATCCAAACTTATTCACAATTTGTCAGCGGCTATGTTGCTCATTGAATGCAGCACGATCATCAACGCATGTTGAATGGAGCTTCTCAAAATGTTCTTATAGTTGCTTCATAATTTCATGTATTATCAGCATTAGGCAGGACCTTTATATCTCTAGTAGCTATATTGTTAAGTTGAACAAGATTTGATGGACGGTTTCAAGATTATGTTCTACAACTGGTGATCTATTTGTCGTAATTTTATAGTTCATTTTTGTTGTTTTAGCCTAGATATGAAATGCTGTAAACTGCTGGTGTATCAAACCGAATTTTGTTTTTGATGGATCGAATGTGTTAATAGATTTATGGACACGTGGTTATAACATTATATTATGTAAAATAGAACCACAGTAACAGTGTGAGTTTGCTTTCGGATTCATTTTCTTTGGAAGGTTGTAGTAAACTGTATTTTGTAAGGGATTCAGGGTTCCATTACAAAATACAGGAAGTATCGTTGACTTTTTTTGTTATTCTATGTTACGCAGATCAAGTCGGTCAGCGTGGTTAATTCAGATTAATTCAGATCAGAAAGAACAAACAAATTTAGGTACAGGATATTATCCATGAAAGGATGTTTCATTTAAAACAAGAAAGTTGACAGCCACTTCCTAAGCATTTCCTGATTTGTAAGTACTAACACGAATTTTTTTAATCGATTTCAAAATATCGATACTGTAAAGTGTTACGCCACTGTTACAGTAGATTGACTAGGCACATACCCGAATCGTTACTGTTTTCATCCGGTTGATTCGTGCTGCAAAGTAGCTCCATGGGTTCCGACTTGACGTTGTTCTCGTTACTGTCATTGTTGCAACGCGTATGCTGTAGATTGGGGGACGGCGAACATGGCGAATTTTCCCGATCTGTGCTGCTTATGCCATTTCCTGAAAACACCCAATCATATCTTGTATACATAAAATTATAAATATCAAATCTGCCATTGGTACAGAAATTCTAAGAGTGGAAAAAAAATTTTTAGTTTTCTGTTCTCCGTTCTCCACTTTTCTGAATATTTCATATTAATTGGCTATAATGTTAACACTGGCCTCCATCTTTTTTGTTCGATTTTTGACTGTTTCTTTGACACTGCTATGAAACACGATAAGCGTCCGAAATTAGAATTAATAATTAATTAATTCATTATTAACAATTTTAATCATCGAAATGAAATTCAGCAAGCAAATATCTTTTTATCCCCTAACAAAATCTAGACGTCTATGTCTTCTTCGTTTCTTTTATATAATTACATATAGACAGCTAAAACTTTCGTATTTAAAGTTTTCACATATTTTACAAGGTGTTCGAGATATTTCGTGCTATAATATAAAATATCCTAAAATTAAAATGTCCTAAATATGCAGCCATCGACTGCAGATTTGGCGGGGATGTAGAAGTCACACATTTGTGTTTGGGCGCAATGAAAAGTCGCGAAGTATTTTTAAAAAATATGTTTCAGGTTATTTTTGCTTCTAGAAAAAAATATTTTTCTCTAAAACTGTTTAGCCGATAGGCAAAATTCTTATATTCGGGAGATCCGTGACTATAACTTTAAATTCAAGCGTTTTTTTCTGTTATATGCGGGGTTTTTCAATTATGAACAAAACCTTAAAAAACACTGAAAACTGTGGCTAATTGGATGTTATTGTGGACCGCATTAATAGCTACAATTTTTATATTTATGGCTTTCATCTGTCACATACGCTGTTGCAGATATTTGAAAAAATCCAAATGAAAATCACCATTTCTCGCACTCAATCTAGACTCCGTAACGTGATTTACTATTACGACGTACTATATGGTTTCGGAAAACAAGTATTTCTCGAAAACCTTCTACCGTATTGGAAAAATTCATATACCAAGAAAAGTGGCAGATCCAGGGTTGTAACCTCTATTTCGATCATTGTTTGAATTATATACATTGGCAAAAAAATCCATTTTTGTTTGTAAATTATTGGTGATAAATGAAAAGTCGTTAAATATAGGATAATTAGATTTGAAAAGTAGTACTTCGCTCACTATTAGGCTATTTTTACCAAATATACAATAGTTAACCAGGAAATTTATTTCATTATCCCATGTTGAATGGCTGAAAATGAAAGAAAAGGGCTTTGATCAGGTTCACCATAAGATTATTGCATTAAAACCAACTCAATTTTGCTTACATAGGGACTGGTGCTGTTTATTGCAGTCTTACTTGACAGTTATTTTTTGTTACACTTGAAGTTCCACAGACATCAACTATTATTTCGGTTATTCTTAAATGACCTAGAAGAAACCCTTAAGTATTCAAATATCTTTACGTAAAAATATACAGAAAAATAGAAAATGAGTGTAGGTTTCAGTATTAGAATTAGTATCTATTAGTATTTTACATTCGGCTAATCCTTACATTATATTGTATGAAATTTACTAGTACAGTAGTACAGTTGTGACTGATTATTCCAAATAAACTCTGACTGATCCACAAATTTTGTTTGTTGTGTCTAAATAAACCAATTGCTCATGACAATGTTTAAGAATGATGATGCAGAGTGAATTTGCAGGGAAGTGTATGGGATGTATGGGAGTAATCACATGGGATTTAAATTTAAAAATATTGACAAGCGTTATTAAAGACACCAAACGCTTTAAAGAAAGAATGATAAAATCCTTCGTCAAACTTCATTTTGAATGTACTTGCATCTACAGGAAAAAAGGTCATCATTTTAACACTCTGGCTTCCAACAAGGCAAGGCAGAAAAGTTTTTATGGAAATGAAGTCGTGGCTGTAACATCGAACTTCGAAAGCGTATTCTCAAGTGCTATATGTTCCCGGTGGTTTTAGATGGAATGGAAGCATGGACGCTAATAGAAACCTTAAAAAAGAATTACCGCCGTTGAGATCTGGGCATATCAGCGCATGCTATGAATACACAAACAGAACTTCTCCATCAAAAAGCGAAAATTTAAGAATTTCGAACATATCATGCGCCGAAACAAATACGGATTATTACAACTGATAATTCAAGGAAAGAATTTTAGAACCTGGCAATATCTGAACTCTTTCGAACAGCAGCTTCGAAAGTTAAAATTACCTCATTAATCGTCAACATTCATAAAGGAGACAGCAGATGAAGAAGAAAAAGGGGCGAAGAAAGGTGCCAAACGCTTTGCTACTTTCACAAAAAAAAAACATTAAGACTGCTCATCAGACTATCATCAGGACATGACAAGCCTACTTTTTGAAAATTTGTAAAAAATATACAAAAAACAAGTAATTGAAGTTTTGAGAACCAAATCGTATGACAAAACTTATTACGTTGTTAATATGCATTTATTATTTATATAAGCACAATTATATAGTAAGCAATACAAATGAATATATTCATATATATTCTGTATTCAATTTTAATTTCAAGAATAGAGATGAAAACATCAACAGTTCTACCCATTTTTCGAGTGTCGGACTATATATAGGGTTATTTCATATACAATTACTTAGCACTTGCAGTTTCCAAAGTTTTTATAAGAAATTAACGAAGAATGTTTGTAATTATTGAAAAACTAATATTTTTAACGTAAAGAAAATATTCAGAATGAACAAACCAGTGGCGGTAAGGTATAATAGCCAATTGCCATTTCTGACTGTTGACCGATATTTCCCCGAAATTCGCTTCTATGCGGCTCTTACCTTCGGCAATTTCCGTCTTCATGTTCAAATTGAGCGCGTTATTGTTTTTCATGGCGGTGGGCGAAAAATCGGCGGGCTGCGTCTGAGGTGGCTGCGCGTGTGGCGACAAGTGATTGAGTTCGTTATTGTTGTTGTTGCCGATTATGTGCTCAGCGGCTGCTGCCACCGCCGCCCGGGCCCTTTTATGTTCGCTTTCGGGGTCCAGCAAGATGTGGCGTCTTTCTCTTTTATACTGCATCGCAGCGCGTCGCAGCAACTGATTGACAGTGGCTCCGTGCGGCGGTGAAGACGGCGACGTAAACAGCGCTTCCTCTACCAGTTTCTCAGTGTAGGAGGTCTGATGGTGCGCGTGGTGGTTCGAGATCGGGGCGGAGGGCTGCTGCGTAGCCGCAGCCTGCTGCTGCGCCGCCTGCTGCTGAGATCGAATCAGACTTTGAACTTGAGCCAACTGAAATGGTGAACAGTTTCGTTAATAAGCAAAAATTTAACAGCCTCTCATTCGATATTAAGGAAATGAACAAATAAAGCGGGTAAAAAGTACATAGGGTCTGATTGGAGGGGTCGTCCTTTATACCACTCTTCTTACTGTTTTTAGATCTGATCTGGTCCACTACTTTAATAAATGTAACGCCTATGTGTGCCGATCACTTGCACATTTATTTCTAAACATCAACAACAATTTTAAATATATTTTTTACCAGCTATACTAACTCATATTGATGATATTCTTAATGCTGTTAGTACTTTTCATTTGCATTACGATTCACTATTAAAATTGAAATATATAAAAAAATAAATGTTCCTAAATTAACTTTAACGAGAAATGTTAATGACAATAACATAAAAACAAAATAATATACATGTTCAAGAAGATATCTAAATTAAAATTATAATCACCCCAGAAGTAAAAAAATGCTCTTATTAATGGTTTAAGAGATCGTGCCATAAAACTAACATGGGCAGATTATAGGGCAGAAGTTTCATCCGAAGTCAAACACATTTGAATTGAAAATCCTTTCCCTGGAAATAACATAAAAATTTTAAGCAGCAAACCTACATGTTTTATAAGTAAATAAAACATAAATAATAAAAAAATACAATTAAGCAGAGATATGTTGGAATACCATATATAAATAATTTCTCTGGAAAAACAAAAGATATTTTTAACAAATATACAGGGTGTTCATTTAGTGTGTCAAACTAATATGTCTAATATGGTTTATTAGTTGTTGCAACTTGTTGAAACTGCTGAAATTAAAAAAAAACAATTTGAGATATCACAGGGCGATTCATAAAAAGTGGGAAATCAAACTTATATTTTAAATGTTTGTTATGGCCTATACTGAATGTTTTCAGATTTATATATATATATATATATATATATATATATATATATATATATATATATATATATATATATATATATATATATATATATATATATATATATATATATATATATATATAGCTTCCAACATCTTAATTGCTCGACACGTGTCATAGATTGAAATGTTATGTTGTTGTTGTTGTTTAGTACCCTATATTTGTGACGCCGTTTCAGAGAGCTACAATTTTATTATGCCAACAATTCTATAAAGTGGTACAGTAATTTATGTTATCCTAAAATATTAATTTTCGTCAAAAAATCAAATGGACCACCTTGTATATTATAATTCCATGAATTACTCGTATTAATGCTGTTTCAATTTATACCCACTACTACTACAAACTCCAAGAAAAGTGCAAGATAAATGACTGTACTACTTTATAAAATTATTGGCATAATAAAATTATATAATAATTAAATAATATATAGGGCATCTTGTCGAAAAAATGGCCCTACATACGAAAACACGCGGTATAGACCATATTAACCCTACATTGGGCCATTGAGTATAAAAGTGATTATCTACTAATGCAGTAATATGCAGGATGTTCAATTTAAAATATATAAGTTTGTTTTCGCACATATTTATGAATCCCTCTGTATATTAGAAAATAATTTTAAATTGTTTTAGTCTTATCTATAGCTTTTGTATTTAACATTTTTTCAAAACCCAATAATCAATGAGGTATATTACTTGTACACTCTGTAGAATACAGAATGTTTGTATTCGATATCGAAGAATCATGTTATAGAAATTTGTGGGTTTAATAAATCGGGTGTCAATTGGGTAAAATCCTAAAATCGAAGGAATCTAGATACTGCACTGAGTAAATTTTTCAAAGAAGTGAGTTTTTAAAAATTTGTTCTTTATTTATCTCGGTCGTAATTTATAAATCTATAAAGTTTGAAATATACAAATATTTAAAGATCGTTTGAAAAAAATTATTTGATTTTATAAACCTTTTTTGTGCCTATGCATGTGATTCTGATTGTATTGTTTTTTAAGTTATGATGAGATTATATATATATATATATATATATATATATATATATATATATATATATATATATATATATATATATAATCTTTAATTTATTAACCGTTTTCTCTATTGCCTTTCTTCCTTTAATATGTACAATCCCTTTCGGCTGAAACGGGCAGAATTGGGGTTGACAATTTTTTTTATTTGCTCACCAGAAGCAATACGAGCTTTTAGAGGACACAACACCTTTTTGAACATAGAAAACTAGGAAACTTCAGAAGTATATCAGTGAATTATAAATATCATCTCGAAATTTTTGCTTTAACATTTTTGAATTCTACAAGTTCAAAAGCGACCATTATTAACTTTTATCATTCCAGCTTTGGCAGTTTTGGACATATTTAAGCTTTCCAATACCTTTTATTAAACCGGTATATAGAAGATCAAGATTGCATAACTCACGAGGGAGTCCCCAAAACATTCTAGATAGAAAATTTTTGTGAACCACTCCCAACCTCACTTTTCAAATTGTTCGAACCAAAGAGTTACAAAAACGATACCGTCTTTGACGGTCGTACGGGATGCGGGTTTGGCCCTCTAAAAGAGTCACTTTTTTGTGATGGAATATAATTCCGGGTTTAAGCACATTTTCTATAAAAGCTGGCTATTTAATATTTTTGCATTTTTTCTTAGATTGCTAAGGTTTCTAAACCCCTTTTAAATATCCGTTCCCTTAATAAGTGTATCGAACAAAAGGTCGTTACTAACTAATAACTTTCTTGAAAGGTAATTTGCCGGCTACCGGTATTCCTTACCTGTTCTCTGCCGTCGCCATGTTGCTGAGTGAGGCCGCTCACTCTCAGAACCTCCGCGGTTTTCAGAAACGAGGACAGCGACCTCTGGTGCACGTTTACTTCGCCGTGGTAAATGAACTCCACCAGGGCGTGCAAGTCGGTCCACGCAACGTCTTGCAGTACTATCACAGGGTGCTTACATGGAGTAGACTGCAACATAAATCGCAAGGTATTTATTGCTTGTAGTTTTAGCAGACTGAATAGTATGCCATACAATAGCTCGACGACGAGAATGCTCAAATGAGTTAGAAAAAAAAAACTGCTGCCAGCGTTATCGAAGTGTACACTAAAATAGACCGTCAAAATGTAGTAGTTAGTATAGACAGCAAAACCTAGTAATTTATGGAATATTGTACAGTGACGTTTTTGTTACGTTGTGGAGACCATAAGGTTATCCCTAATTTTTTTACAATATCCCATCATGCCAACACCTCATCTGCTTACAAAATTCTTCGTAAATATAGTTTTGCTTTACTTGGGAAAAGAATTCACCATACCCGCAAACAAATAGACCAATTTGTCTACATCTTGAAATTGATTCCATCTTGTCCCATTTGTGTTCGATACCCTCTCAAACAGACCTCATAACAAGGCTGAAAATCTTAGGTTATCTACTATTCAGCATCATATTCAAAAATTTGAAAAACTAAAGTCAAATACTGTGGTAATTGTATCGTCCCACCAACTTTCTGAGACAGAAAAAATCAGTTCTTGCAAAAGGTTCCAACTTGGTCCTTGCCCCACGTATTATCCCAAAAGAGGAAATCTTTTCAAGTGTCGATTCTATCGTAAACAAACTGCCATCTCAAACAGCTAATGAAATTGGATTTGAAACCTTAAAAAATCAAAACCTCCTAAGTCTAATATTCCAAAGCCTGAACGCATTGCTTTAAAATCTGTAAAATCTAATCCCAACATCGCAATTCTAAAAGCAGGTAAAGAAAACGGTGTTCATGAACACAAAATAATATCAACAACAATTCAGTATATTTTTATGAAAGCATCCTATCGCCAAATTTAAATCCTTCGTCATCTATGGAACGCAACCTTAGACCTGTTATTAAGGCTTCTACTCTACCACAATCCGTGAAAAAATATGTCACCCCCTCATAACTTTACGGACTCCCTAAGTTTCGCAGGACTTGTCAGCATCAACATATTCTCTTGCAAAATATTTAGCTTCTATACTAAAACATTTTACAGGGAAAACTAATAATATCGTACTTAATTCCTTTCGCTTCATTAGACAATTGAAAACCATTACATTAGATCCACAGGATATTATGTTTAGTTTCGACATAGAATCTCTTTACTAAAGTCCCTATTCCTGAAACTTTCATTATTTTTTCAGAGAAATGCTTGTCTGGAACATATTTTTCTTATAACGGTCAAATTTTTGAACACCAGTCATCGCGATTATATATATATGGAAGCCTTTGCGAAGAAAACGCTCGACATCTTTCATCTAAAACCAAAATTATGGAAATGCTACATTTTCTATTAAAAAAAAAGAAAAAATACATTATTTTTGAAAATATGAGAAAATTTTATTGTAATTAAGTTCTTCCTTTTCCAATACAAATGTGCTTAACTTCTTTTGATACATCCTAGTTTAAAAAAAAATGAAATTAAACTACTTCGTTTTTTTTTTTTTTAAATTGATCTTAAACACTTGATTTCAAATGAAATCTTCAGACAATATAGTCTAATTAACTTCATTAATCTTGTGTTTTTTAAGTCGTCTACGTCTTTGAATTGTAATTAAATTTTATTTGGTTTTAAAAACTTTAATCATATTAACCTTCCAACAATTTGGCCGATTTCTATTAAGATGAAGATTTTCTTTAAAATGGACTGTTTAAAATAAGTTCGGGTGTCCATACTTTCTGCCACCCAATAGAATTTAATAGGTAATTAGAGTGCGTTGAGTAACTAATGTCTAGTCCAGACCGTCCATTGAAAACAAAATTCGGATAATTCTCAAGGTCACAAGTTAAATCTATCAAACTGATAACATACTAGCATAAAATTTTAAAGTATACAATTCTATTTCCGATTGCGCCAGCAAATAACAATAACGAATGGTATTTTTTATTGCACTAAGATTAAAACAAAATTAAACAATATTTTTACGACTGACTACAGTTTAAACGTTTAGAATAAGTTAGATGATCTTGAGGTCAAAAATATTTTCCCAGAGTTATAGTTTTGGAAAAATAAAATGCGTCCGACAACCATGGAATACATACTGTATGATATATTACCATTAAAGCACACAGAAGCTATACGTTTATGCTAGGTTTTTTTTGCAATTTTCTTGAACTCGAACTGAATATTTAGAAAATGTTCTACAAAGCGTACGAATTATAATGATGAAACTTTAACAGCCCATTTGTCAGATAACAATTTCATGTAAACTTGCACAGGCTATTGGAATACAATTTACAAATGTTCTGGATTTCTTCTGCGTCGGTTGTTGATGATTCGAACTTGCTGACGTTTAGTCAATTATCCTGCTGACTTCTTCTGAACTCAACTGAAACTGGCTTGCATTCTACTCTTATACGCTGTTTATATACTGTTCGAAGGAGGAGGAGCTGAAGGAAAGACATGAACCTTGGTCTCATATCGGTAAAAGGACAAACCTGAGACGCTGTTAAGATTGTTTAGATATTTATATAAATTATCGGATTTTTTTTGGGTAAAAGAATTGGTAAATTATATTTTGCAATTGAACGGTTATATCTCTAATGTGGATAATATTTGAGAAAAGAGGAAATTCTGGATATTTTATTTTTGGGTCCACTGATTCAGGATGAGTTTTTTCTACTTCTCGGTAAACAAGAGAGTTGATAACCGATGACTTCTGACCGGTTGGTAATGCGACAATGCATTAAGTTGTCGGTCTGTCGGCGTAGGTAGGTATTCTGCAAACGGAATGATCCGTAAGTCTGATTTTCTATTAATAAGAATCAAATAGTAGTCAATATCGTTAAAGAAATCTCGACGGGATTCTTAAAGGCAAATAACAAAAGTACCATCAACATGGCCTCCCAATAGTTTTGGTTTTAGATGGAAACAGTCGTAGGCTTCATAAATATTATATTGCGATGAATGGTGATAATGATAAAATTTTACAGGTGGCATTTTCTGTGATAAATCATGTTTAGTACACGATTGCCGTTAAATATGTTTTAATGTTTGCGAAATAGTATTTTATAAGAAAACCTCATAAAACTGTTTTGAACTTTCTAAATAACACGAGCTGTGGGAACATTTAGTGAGCTCGAATAAACTACATCTAAGTAACCCAACAAAGACGAAAGAAGGCAATCCATCGCATGAATAATATTTAAATTTCGCAGGTAGAAATTGTTTCAAACTGTAAAATTATTTTGAACGCATATAAGCAATTTTCAGTCTATTGTTGAAATAGAATTTTAATAGGTATCCCAACGTCTTTAGCGAAGTACAACTAGTGTCAAACTTTCATATTACGGGAACTCACCTTAAGTAATTCTCTAAAGTAGGGGCTGCACGCAGACAACACAACTCTGTGTGCTTTGAGGCTTTTTCCATCGCACGCCAATGTCACATCCACGAAGTCTTCATCGTCGCGTAAATTCTCGAATGCGGACGTAATGCTGCTCTGGTAGTTATTCCAGCGGAGGCAAAAGTGCTGCGTGTCAACCATCGCTTTCTGTTGCTATCGTTTTTTCACCTGTAAGCGTTTGATAGGCTTTTAAAATATAATAAATTTCGATAGACGGGTTTACTAGAAACTTTTTTAGCCTCCTGCGATTTTTTTGGAAAACTTACAGTTTCCGAAAAAAAAGATTAGAAAATACCATTTAGTTGGGTGCTTGTCAAACCGTTGTATTGTGTGGTGCGGATATAAGTGTTGTTCTGTTAGTATCCTCCAAACAGTTGATTCATCATTATCTAATTCTGCTGCAATGGATCTGGTACTTGTCTCGGGTTCGTTCTCAAAAATATTTAGCACAGCAACTCCTAATTTGAGTGTTTGAACTGCGCGCTGTCGTCTGGTGTCAAAATGCATATTTTTCGAAACTTCCAGATTCATGTAGCCATTGTTGAAGCCTGGTAAACAAGCTATGATGAGGAAGTCTACTAGCAGAATATGCTTGGGTGTAAAGACGACAAGCTTTCAAGAATTTTCCATTTCCACACCCGGTATATTATTATTGAACAATTAAATGAACAGATAACAAGGTGATTTATTAAACTGGTATTTTTTATTCAAACTAATTAAGAAATATCAAATAAAGCAATAATAAGAAACACCTTCAGAAGTGGCAGCAGCCCACTAGATTTTGTTTAATCTAATAAATGCATACCTAATAAACGGTAAGCGTTCTGAAATTTGCAGGCAACAAAAGTATCTGCATAAGTGTTTACTTAATTTTAGTTAAGAAGATGGGGGTCGTGCAATTTAATGGCCTCGACTCATTTTAAAAAAATATAAAAATATACATAAAGTGTGTTTTTATAATAAGATAATCTAGCACACATCCAAACACAACTTAAGTTCAGTTAAAACCAAAGATTTCGATTTGTATTTATTACCGACTAAATTCAATCCCACATCTCCTCCTTTTCTTTCGATCCCACTAATTCTATCAATGCATTATTTCGCTTTGGTTAATTTTAGTAGTAGAAGTAACGGGTCATGAAAATACACTCGAATGCAAAATGTTACAAAAGTATGGGGCATCCACCATTTTGTAGCGAATTATCCGGGGAAAATCTAATTCTGGACATTTAATGACGTATCGCGCATGACCCGGCTACATGAAAAAATAAGAATTTTTTTTTCATATAAACATGGGGGCGAAAATGTTTTCAGGATAAATGGTGTCAAACTTTTAAAAAAGGGTTTTTAATAAATATCTTAAATATCCCTCGACCGATTTTGTCGAAATTCAGTAGTTTTGGTTGTTGGGACAATAGACTCACTTAGGATTAATTAAAGTAAAATTATGAAGAGCAGGGGCGTTCCGGGAGGCACATTATCAAATATTTTTGACACAGAAAGGTTCGCCCCTGATTTTAATCTTTGTCCCAATTAAACAACTAAAAATGTAACTTTTGTCTATGGAATTTTTTTCATTTTCGAGAAAAAAAAAAAGATTTATTGCTTGTCCCAATTTATGGCAACATATTCTAATCCGTTTTTTACTAATATCTTTAATAACGGTTTTCCAAATTCCTTGGAATGTGGCAGCTTTGATTAGTTTGTAATATTTTTAACTTATCTCCAACTAGATTAAAATTTTTAAGTCCCGTGGTGTTCCGGGGTAAAATTTTCCGAATTTTTTGAACAACACATGTGCGCAAATGACTATTATATCCTTTTTTCAATCAGGAAGTAAAAATACCGTTTGACCCCAAGCTTTTCGTACCTGGTATTAAAAAAAAATAATCATCAAAGTGTTTTCAATTCATCTCAATACAGTTCTCCAAACGACATATCATTGACTTTCTCACTCGATCTTCTTCTTCTCGTGCCGTTATCGATCCCTTATACTTCTGCATCATCTGTATCAAATGTAGGGTGCCGTTCTCAACTTGCCGAAAGATTATAGCGGCTAAAAATGTACCAAAGATAAAATATCTTCTTCATCGTTAGTTGTATGTGCGGTCCACGGAATACGCAGGAGCCTATGCTGTTCAGTGTCCGTATTTTTAGTGAACATGTCTCTGCTTCATGTAGCAATATAGTAACACTTTATTACTCGAAGACGCAGTTCCATTTGTGATTGAGGCTGGCACTGGTCCAGATCTTGATCGATCAATCCTGATAGAAATGTCAATCTGTTCGCAGGTTATTGCCATGACTTTTGTTTTGGAGGCGAAACTCTGCCTACTTGATTAATTTTGTACAGTGTTGGAGCTCCTCAGGAGAATTTGCCAATACAGCTGTAACGTCCGCATACAGAATATTGTCAATTGGAGTTCCATTGATTTTGATTAATCTATTATTTCTTTCCAGAGCCAATTGAAAAAAAAAATCAATGCAGATATTGAATAATTTGGATTTGGATATATAAAAAGTCTCTGTAATTAGTTAGTCGTTTATTTTCACCTCAGCAATTTATTTCCAGAACAGTTTTTCAATTATTCTGATATCCTTCGAATCTAAGTCAATTTCATATAACGTTTCCAAAAGAAAATCGTGCTTAATATTATCAAAAGCATTCTGATAATCAATAAAACAAATAAACACGTCCCGCTGTTGGTCGTAGTGTGTCTGTATAAGGAGTTTCATTGAAAAGAGAACTTCTCTTGTAACCACCCCGTTGATAAAACTAAGCTCATTGCTTCACATTTGGCATATATTCGGCTGTGAATAACTCGGAGAAAAATCTTCAGAGCAAGTCATAGTCTCCACAGTTTCTAGAGGTACTTTTTTTAGGGCGAGGTATAAAGGTATTCTCAGGACCTCAGCATATATATTGTCATGTTCTGGGCTTTTTCGGATTTTCATGTTCTTAATGACTTGTTGTATTTCACCTTCTCCACTTAGCTCTTGCGATACGATTAGGGAACTTAAATTTCGTTGCTCTTCAAGGAGTGCTTGTGTATACTGTTTCCACTCATTACGGAGATCTGCTGGTTCCAAGATGATCTCTCCATTCTCCTTTCAAGGAGATGAAATCAAAGCTCTTCTGAGTGAGCGAGTACCCTGTTTTAACTTTATATGGAAATTTTATGGAAAAAGTCTCTCAGCTTCCTCACATTCTTCACCCACTGTTCTCGAGCTTCGTTACATTTTTGTTTTACTTTCCAATTTAGGTCAGTGTATCTTTCAGTTCGTTGTTTAATTTTATTATGTTTTCTTTCTTCCATTATATCTAAGATATCATCCGTTATCCAGGGCCTAACCCTAATTCGCTATTGCTGGCCAAGAATTTGCTGGACAAGCCTTTTGGACGTTTTTCTTGATATCCATTCATATGTCTTCTGGTTCGTCTTTGTTCCTAGGATTATTTTCATTCCATAGTCTATCTAGTTCTGCTTTCATATTTTCTATGTTATTTGACTGGTTTAGTTTCTGGATATCGTATTTTCTTTGAGCCGTCCTTGTTGCAATACGTTTGGGATTAAGTTTAAAGTTGGGCAATTATGGGCTTATGGTCGGAATCCTGGATAGGCAGCCATTCGTGTTACGCAGTTTTGATCTGATTTCTCACTATACGGTTCGGGTTGTCCTGCGGGGATCGCCATGTATATAGTAGCCTAGGAGGCAGGTTATGGTATGTGTTCTTAATCACTAGTCCTCGCGGTATTTTTTTTTCACCCATTCCGAAGGCACCTACGCATATAACACCCATAACGATGGTAATCCTTTTCGGTCTCTGCCTCAGATTTGCCTTCTGTGGACGCGTACACTTGAATAAGGTTAAGGTTGATTGGTTTAGCATGAGAATAATTCCTTCTAAACAGGCAGCAACATTGAGTACAGACTTTTTATATTTATTTATTTATGGCAGAACACCATTACAATGTTGTTGGGTCATCTGCTTTCGCTTAACGTTTGTTCACTTTCATCATATCAAGCCGCAGGATTCTTAAGCACCCTCTGATGATCTAACATCTGCCCGCGACTGAGATCCACACTGCTTCTGTTTCCTGACATGATAAAAGAGTTCGGCGGTAGTTTCTGCCTACTTTCCGCATTGCAGTACCATAGCCCTCCAACTGCTTTAGTTTCGCCTATGGAATCCCAGTTCTCGAACTAATTCAGGGATCATTATCCCGATCGTAGTTTTAAAAATACTAATTAAACTATTAAAAACATTCTCATTTTTTCATGTAGAATTGCTCATAAATTCTTCGAACGTTATTTCCAGACACCCTGAATATTAGCACGATACGCAAATGATTTGCTATGAGTAGAATGTTTTCATTGACTTAACTAGGTAAAAAAAAATTAACCTTGTTGCGAGATCCTTTTTTTTATATACGTGGCTGATGTATGTCCACCAAAACTTAACCTAACTTTAATTTGAAACCTATAAAATAAAAAATTCAAATAGTGTTCTTTTTCAACGTGTAAAAAGGTTATACAAAATAGGGCCCTTGCCCAATATTTAATGAATTAAAAAGTTAATTAATGAAGGTTATGAAGTACCAAAATATAACCAGTTCCCTTCAAATTTTCATAGAAGGTCTGTCAACAGGTCTGAAGGTATCCATATTGGAAGCGAAGAGTGATTTTGATAAGGGCTGCTTAAATAAACAGAAGCAGTACCCAATTACAAAGAGACAACAAAGAATACTAGTGAGAACTGGCAAAGAGAAATATATGTATATGTATATGTATATATATATATATATATATATATATATATATATATATATATATATATATATATATATATATATATATATATATATATATATATATATATATATATATATATATATATATATATATATATATATATATATATATATATATATATATATATATATATATATATATATATATATATATATATATATATATATATATATATATATATATATATATATATGATGACACTTTATTCCGGGATATCATCCGTTCGCTTGTTGAACTCCGACTGGAATCCTGCAGACGTTTCCCAAAATCTCACTTGGCATCTTCAATGCTCGCGCTCCGAAAACACAGTGTTCGAAGTGTTTTCGGAGCGCGAGCACTTTTTTCCATCCGTG